CTGTTAAATTGTTGCTAAATAGTTTAATACAATTCATAGCAACTTTACCTGTGGCTCCAGTCATTCTTCTCCACGCAACTCACTATCCCTCCTACGAATCTAGCTATTGGCCCATTCTCTCCATCTTACTTTAATTTCCCCTACCCTATCCTGTACTTGGCTACAGAAAGTGGCGAGCCAGCTAGGAGGGTTTGCCGAGTTGTTAGTCCACCCAAAATTTAATAAAACAATTAAGAGTGCCTGGAGCTTCACAGTGACTTGTATTTTTTCTATTGGCACTTTTACGTGTCCTAACCATGGAAGTTGGGAAAACAGAGAATGTTAAAGTTCAAAATGCTGTCTTGGTCAGTGGTTTAACTAACACAGACATTGATAAAGAAATAATTGAGTTCTTAGAAGCTTTCGGTCCTGTCAGTAGGCAGATTAAGCTACCAACTGGTGGTCAGATTATTGTGGAATTTCAACATGAGCCTACTGCTAAAGAACTAGAGAAAAGATATTTGCCTTATGACAGACCTTGCACTGTGAAACCTGAAGTTGTCTATCACATTCGAGACCTAGCCAGTGCGTATAGCATTGAAACCAGCGCATCAGCTACTGTAACTTACCTGTCACAGTTTAAAGATGTGGCAGCACGAAGCAACCGATCGTTTAAAGACCTTTTGATGGATGAACTAGCTAAAATTGGGGAGTCATTGGGAGGGGATGTTCACACAGTTGAGCCTTCCACTGAACAAGAGCCAGTGCCGTACAGTGATGAGGCCCTACCTTCTCCCCCTTTAACACCCAATAGCAACCATGTAAGTGCCTTGAATACTCACCCACCGGCAGAGGCTGAGAAACAAACCCCTCAGATTCCCACCAACCTTTTAAGCACACCTGAAGTGCAGCGGGTTATTGTAGAGCACATTGTTAAAAGCAGTGAAGTCATTCCCCCACCAAACTCGCAATACAGACTGAAACCTTTTTCAGGGAGAGTTCCACATCCTCCTTTCGAAACTGACTATGACACTTGGCGCAGCAGCGTAGAGTTTTGCTTGACTGATCCCTC